TTTTGCTGATGATACTAGCATCCTATTTTCTCATTCTAATACAAATGACTTTAACAAACACATTCATGTAACATTTGAAAATATAAATAGATGGTTTAGAATGAACAGATTATCACTAAATTTTAATAAGACACATTATATTCATTTTAAAATTAAGAGAAAAATGTCAGATACTCTCACAATAAGTTATAATAATAATTATATATCATTAATAATAGCTTCTGTACTAAATTCTTGGGAATTATGATTGATGGTGTATTAACTTGGAAGAATCATATTGATCTACTCATTAAAAAATTGAGCAAGGCTTGCTATGTAATTAGAAATATGAAACTATATATGTCTACTTCAGTACTAAAGGCAATTTATTATGCTTTTTTTCATTCCTTAATGAGCTATGGCATCATCTTCTGGGGAAATTCATCTCATAGTTACACTATTTTTCTTCTTCAGAAAAAGGCAATTAGAACAATGATGGGATGTGGCAATAGAGTCTCGTGTAGAAATATATTCAAAGAATTAGATATTTTACCATTGGCATCACAATATATATTTTCTTTATCATTGTTTGTATTACAAAACAAAATTCTTTTTCCATCAAACATTGACTCTCATACTATTGATACTAGACAGACAAAAAATTTGTATCTACCTCAAGCTAATCACAAAAAATATATTATATAAAATTTAATACAGCACATACCAAACATTTTTTAAAAGGGATTACAACTAATTGTAATAATGTTGTATCGTAATAAACTTCCAGTTTTAGCAACAATTTATTTAATTTATCTTAATACGTCAAACAAAATGCCATTGTCATATTTATTCGTTCATTTTTAATAGTTCTAACCTTTACAACAGATTTTAAAAATTCAATTTTAATTTTCGATTAAACCAGATAAACCCCGGTTAATCCGAGTCTATGGGACGTTCGTTGTTACATCGCATTATAACACGCAAGTGCATTGCTCTATATCTGCAGTCTCCTTCTCTGTCACATTTTAAAGGAACCAATAAATAATGGATACTGAGGAACCACTGTACTGACATAACAAAATACATACATTATGTAATGATCAATTTACACTCATTTCCAATTTACCTTGAAATTTGTAATGCCTGCCTGATGGAATGCCCACTTTGCTCTTGCCTGTACCATGCTTTTAGACACCTTGTTACCTTGTTGTTTAGCCCGTGCCTGACAATACCACTGCCAAAGATCACGATCCACTGCACCACTTGCTGGTCGTAAACCACGGCAACATATAACTGCCAACTGAGAAGCATCAAATGCAGAAGTAGTAGTTACTAAGGTGACAAAGTGAACAAAATGTCATCACTGAAAACTGGAAATCTCAACACACAACATGAGTATGAAAAATTTGCAACCACACAAAAATAAACCATCTGTACCTTTCTGTCCACAGAATCTCTGCTAACAACAGACTTCATCAAATTATTAGCACAACCACCTATTCTGTTGTGTTGTGCTTCACCATTCAACTTTTGATCCAAAAAGTGTTGCTTGGAATCAAGTTTCCTGTCATGTATGTGTTTATCCATTGACAAGGTCTTCAATTATCTGTACAACATATATGATTGGATGACACAATGTTCTGTACAAAATGCTAAACACTTTCCTGTGAATCACTTCAACCCATACTAACGCTTGTCCTGTAACATAACCAAAAAATTGTTTATCCATTGACAAGGTCTTCAATTATCTGTACAACATATATGATTGGATGACATAATGATCTGTACAAAATGTTAACTACTTTCCTGTGTATCACTTCAACCCAAACTAACGCTTGTCCTGTAACATAACGAAAGAACTCAACAAGTCCAACATAGCACTACCGTTCTGAAAGACTGAACAGAACAAACGGTACATTTCGACAACAAACATTCGTACAATAATGTGAAAATACTCAAAACTGTTTCGACAGTTCCTTATAGTCGATATGTATTTGCAATATCTTCAACAGCAAGATAAAATATTAATTTACATAACTCAGATAAGGACTTGCGGAAGTTTGCATTTATCGTACATACCACACACCTTCAGAGTGACATATTTCACATAACGCCGCCATATTAGTGCAATACCTATGCAGAGGGTGACAGAGACTTTTTTGAGAATTTCTTGCCGAGTCTAACCATTTAGTGTTTTCTTTCCCCACTTTCTCTATCCTTGATTATTAAATCGCACATAGTTAAACCATTTTGTGTAAAGCAGAACCTCCAAACGTTCTCCAAAACGTGCAGATGGCGGCGGAAACTATAATTGAAACATTAAAATCACCAACCAAAAAGAAAGTCATGGTCATAGATGGTTATATTTATTTTCTCTGAAGGCATGAGTATTCAATACGAATTCAGAATCATGTGTCTTTATAGAATACAAAGAATCGTATATTGATTTGTGCGAAGAATGGATCTGACCCACGCTCAAAGAGTTAGGATGCTTTATAAAACTATTCTGAGGTTGCATCGCGGTCTCCCAACAGAATTACAAGTGATGGGAAATAGTTATACAAGAGATGAATTCAAAAGACACAAGACTTGTAACATTTCCGAAGCATCTGTATTTATGGTGGAATGGGCTGTACGTAATATGTTTTCACCACTTTTATAAGGATGTTTTAGGTTACGTTGATTTCTAAGCTACGCTTCAAGTGGGATGGTTTGTGCATAATTTTACTTTTGGCTTATACAAACCTAAATTAAACAATACAGACTTAAAAGAAGAGCGCTGATTTAGGTCTACTAAATTAAAAATTGGAAGGCATCAAAGCCCCCACATCAAGCTTTAGTATTGAGGTTATGCTAGTTTTGGTTACATTTTAGACCCACTATCACTGAGTTAATATTGCAGTAGCTATTGTGGAATTGGCATCATAAAGGAAACACACACACACACACACACATATATATACACACATACATATACATACATGGTTCTGCAAAATACAGTTTAGGAATCACTGCACTGATCTGTCTTAAATCATTTGTAACAATACAAACTAAATGAAACCAAAATCTTTTATGTAGTCCAATTTTTATGTTTTTTGCATTATAATTTTGGTTAATTTAAAACCATCAGGCCTGTTGCCATCATGTTACATCAGAATATTTATATTTTGACAATTTTTGTGTTCAAGAATAAAACTGCACATACAGTATGTTATTTAGAGTGATTTATTTATTCAAGTTCATTTGTGTGTGTGTGTGTACCATAGATAATATTAAATTAGATCCTACAGAAATAGGGTGTGAGAATGTGGACTGGATTTATCTGACTCAGGATAGGGTCCAGTGGTGATTTCTTGTTTTGAACATGGTAATGGGCCTTCTCATTCCATAAAAGGTTAGCAATTTGTTTGTCTTTTGTGAAACTACTAGCTTCTCAAGCAGTGCTCCATGGAGTTTGTACCACATTCTTTATTGATGTTTTATAATTTCCATGGATTCCCTATTGTGTGGGGTTGGTAGTTATGACATATTGGTTGTAAATTCTATTTTGTCAAAGTCAGTACTGTGTTCAGTCTGTATGGAGTTTTGAATACCAGTGTTACTTCTGTTTGGTGTCATTTACATATTTTGAAAGTTGTATGCTGATGTGCTGGCCAATATATAATGCTGCGTGAGTAGAAGACATACATGTGTGGTTGTTTTGGTGTTAAAATTAAGGATTATTATATTTTATTTGAACATTATGAGTTGTTTAAATTATACCAATTATGAAAATTAAAAATTCTAAAATTCCCTGTTTCAGAGATTGGCTGTCTCTGTCTGCAGGTAAGAACTAAAGAAAACTCATTAATGAAGAATAGCTTTGTCTAGTGGGCCTTACAGAGTAGTTATCTTTTCAATTCTTACCTGATAACAGAGACAGAGCCAGTCTCTAAAAATTTTGAATTCTTACTTAATTTAAATGTAATTTAGTAATTTAAATAACATACTGGATAATGTTCAAATAAAATATCTTGATAAGACTAATACTCCACTGTTATAAAACTCTAAAACGGAAGGATGATTTCCATGCAAACTGAACAGGCACTTGCAGTGACATTTTTCTCTGGAGTGAAAGAGCATAAATTGTAGTATACTTCTCCTCTTGTTTATAGAAATATGCTGTAACTCTGGCACGACAGCTAGGTTTGAAAGGTCCAAAGTATGCAAAGAAGCTTGGTGAAAGCCTGGATGAGAACAAACTTGATCAAATGCGTGAAGATCAACTTAACCAACTGTATGAACTATTTCTGGCTGCACAACAGGATCATACAGAAGGCAAAGATGAAAAAATACCATGACTGAAGTTAACAGACATTAGAATACCAAGTACATTTATTTATAGAAATTATAGGAATACCTAGTATTGTGTGCCATGTTACCAAACTAACATTGTCGCTGTGACCACATTTTTCTGACTACCATGAAGAGAACGAAACCTGCTACTTCTTCCCATATAGGTAATGAGCCTCAGCATATTATGACTAAAATATGAGTAGAGTGGTTAACACAACTGTAAAGTATCATTCAAAGTAGAAACCTTTTGAGCTCAGCTACTAAATCTGTCTCAAATGATTCTGTAGAGAATAACAAACTGCATTACCAACTCAAGATTATTCTATTTGGTAGACTGGATTACACTGTCTTATTGGGAGGCCAAACTTGCTTTATTTCTTTAGCATTAGTCATGGTGGACTACTTTAGTTTAAGCTGTTTTTATGAGAAAATCCAAACCCATCTCATTAAGTAAAATTGATAAGACTGTCTGCCAGTAGACTTATAAGATACCTTAAACTTGTGAATCATTAATGGTTTGATTAGTTTTCTATCATTTTCACTAAAACACTGAGCCATTTTGGGTGTCAGTCACTTCATCAAAGGCTTTTTCTATCTAGACCTGATGTAGCATGTACACACAATATCTATCTTTAACCAGAGAGATATGAATGTTGCATACATTAGCCATTACAACATGGCTTTGTACAGTGTTATATGCTACTCACTTTTGGTAGATTGATTCATAAGTTATTTAATGACAGTGTATGAACTGCAGAGAATTATCAAAATGAGACATGAGAAGTAAATGTTGCTTATTTCATGGTATGAGTCTGGCATGATGACTTTCAGATGGGATTTGAATGAAGTACCTCCTGATGAGATACATATAATATTAATGGACACTGGAATTCACATATAACAAAGCAACTGGGAATGGCGCAGTTGTACGCTACAAGGCTTTATGAAGAAAATGATGTATAGACCAAAAGTGTTGCACATTTTTCAGTATCTTTTGCCTTTGAAAACATTTATAGAGTAAGTCATCACAGAACCACACTGTGTGGGTAACATCTGTGTTTCATGCTGGCACATATGTTAACTGTTCCTCTTTCAGACATAAATAATGGATTTTGCAATAGCTGGTACAATGGTAATCCTCCTTACATGAATAAGTAAACTCAGTGTATAATTCATATTTTGTGATAATTTTTACTCTTCTGCAAGATATTTTGTTCCTAAATATTTTATACTTGTAAATATTATACATTAATGAAAATAACAGTGTGTCAATGGCATGAAACCATGGCTTACATCTTAATGAGAATATTAAAAAAAGTATTTTGAATCTTTTAAATTGTCAATATGAATAAAGGAACAGTGTTTCAAATGACAGCTTATTGGAATAAATTATTTTAACAGAAATAGGACTGCATTAAAAACAGGTTTATCCATTTAAAAATACATGGTAGCATATAGTGAAAGTTTTAAGTGTTGTCTAGTAAATAACTTGTCAGGATCTTGCAGGACAAGCAAGGATATTTTCACATAGTGCCTGCTACAAGTTCTATCAAATGAAAGATGGGCTCTTCAAGATATTTGACACACCTGCCTACAGAGATGCAGTTTATGGGAGGACTTCTGTTTGTCTACATTGTATTTGCATTCACATATTGTGAACTTCATAGTGTGTTCATATGTTGATAGCTGACACTCAGCATATATTATACCTCATCCACAATCCTTTGTAGCTGGTATCTTCTGGTGACCACAGTCTCTTGAAGTTTCTAGTTCCAGATGTGAGGTTTGAGGTTTTTGAAGCAGTAATAATTTATATTGTGGCTTTCTGGGTTATGATGCCATGTAGTCTCATAGATGGTTACAAATATTTGGAAGAACTGTCACCTTTCATCCTCAGGGTAGAAGATACCTGAAGATGGATGTGAATGGTTCCTTCAAATGTAGGTAACTATCTATAAGACTACATGGGATCATAACACACAAGAAGTCGTCTTCCATGTGTTCACACTGGAAAATTTTGATTTTCTTCTATTGTCACATCCCAGCTTACTGTTTTTTGTCTCTATCCATAACAGCTTGTTAATAACAATATTTTAAAAAAAATACTTGTTTGGATCATAATTTAATTTACTTTGAAAATAGATATAACAAGTTCTGAAGTACAGTTTTTATTAATTATAATAATATGAAAAACAACAAAAACAGTACTTTTCTTTGACTACAATAACACATGTAACAACAAACCAAGGGTACTCTAGGACCTTGTCAAGAAAGAATGGGGGGAGAGAAAAAAAGGAGGATAAAAGGGAAAGAAAAATAAATAAAACTGGATAACATTTCCCAGGCACACTAGCTACAGCTGTACTTTACTCGGATCGAAACTGAAACTAATACTCCATTAAGTCCTGCACAATATTTTAAGGTTTTGAGCAATGCAGACACATTCTGTAGAAAGGTGTAAGGGAAATGCAGTGTGATAGGGAGCATGGTCGGTATGAAGCAATGGTGGATGGCTTCAGATTCGTTTATGTATGCATGACAATGTTCGTTACTGTGCCAACAGTAGAAAAGATAAATTACTATTTAGGCAACACAATGTATCAATCTTCAGCATAGCCTGACACAACTACTGCAAATCCTTGCCTCCTCTTAATTGAGCTACAATTTAACATCATTTAATATATATATATATATACCTTCCATACTATTCTTACTGCATACTTCATTATATAACAGATCATTCATGAATGGAAAGAATCACAGAACTCCACTAAAGAACAACAATACAGTATTTATCTTCAATATGACAAGAATTGTTCCAACTTCTCTTGAAAACATCACATATATATCTCTTCTTTAAATTTTTTGCTAATTTTTTATATATTCATTATAACAATATAATAAAAGTATCATTGATCAATCAACTTGTGAAAAAAGCGATGTTTAGTTTTGGACAAAGATTTTAATAACAACATGCGTCTTTGTTACCCTATTTTAACCTCTGACATTTAACAGAACACTGACACATGCACCTTTCTCTTCCTCTTTTCCTATCACCACATGGAGTTTGATGATTTTACACTTCCACTATGTTGGCAAGACTGATATCTTTTTTCAAACTTCACAATTATCTCCTTTATATGAACTTAGGTTTAGAAGAGAGAAGGGCATCTAAAATACAAAGGAACTTTTAGAAATGTTGGACAACATATCACATAACTAATCACTGATATACTGCCTGCACTCTGTAAGTTAATGGCCATTTTTTATCTTTCCAACCATTACATGATAATAATAAATTGAATACTGCCAAACAACGAAAAGCAGTTTAGATTCATTAGTTAAAATCAGATTGAAAAGAATTTTCTGACTCAATGTTTTCCTGAAAAAAGTTTTTTTTTGTGGATGGGAGCATATTTTCAGAAGTTCGTTTTTGTAATAAAAGAACCCCCCCCCCCCCAAAAAAAAAAAACAATTTTATCTGAACAGAATTTTTTAATTTTCTTTCTGCAAATATCATAAAGAAGCTTTATGTATGATTTTCAAAGAATAATCTTTCTAATGATATCAAATTATAATTTTTCATTCTCTATGCTATGAAGAAGGTCATCCGGCAGACATATCCCTTCAAAAACAAAGCACAAAGGTTAACAACATGGCAAAACTGTCAGGTATCATGTGTGTTGTACACAGGACAAGGTTGGAAAATAAAGGGGTCTTACCATTGCTGCCAACATTCAGTGCTTCAAATTCATACTTTTCTGTTAGCTGTCTGGTTTGTCATTTTCTTCAAGGCATTTTGGACCTTAGGCAGTAAGAGAATGAGAGAGACTTGTCTTTAGATCATAAGAAACCCCAACTGATGTCAGTGCTGCTTGGATGGATTTCCTTCATTTATCATTAGAACTCGACCTGTAAACATACAATTTACAAACTCTTTTAGGCCAAAAATATAATACAATATCAGTGTGTAATAACAAGGTCTAAACAAGAAGTTAATACATTAATTTTCTGGGGAGAAAAGTTAACCAAATTTGTGATGTAAGATGTTCCCTGGAAATCATCATCTAAAGCCTAACACCAGTCCTTGTTACTGGGTGGGTACTTACTTACTCTTCTCTCCACCCTTCCCACCAAAGATGGAGACAGGACCCACATCCAAATCACTACATATAATTTCAAGAATATCCTTACAGCATGATTTGAGATCATAAGTGTAATGATGGAGTAGTCAGCAGTTATGAAATATTGGTTGATACCTACTGAACTATATGATGCAACATCATAGAAGACCACCATCTTCATCTGCACATTGGAATAGAACATGCGAGAATGGCATGCAGAATGTATGACTGGCTAAGAAAATACACCAAATCACAGTGATGAACAGAATTAAGTAACATTATAATGCAGGGACTAGATAAGACTACTTATACTGTAGCAACATGAACAAACCCGTTTCTTGATCTGTTCCTTCACCAGCTGTTGAAAGGGTGACAGTAGCTGCCTGTGTTGTCATCTGTGGCTGCAGAGTAATGCCTGCCTGAGGTGGTGAATTTTGAACAGGATTTGTTGCAACTGTAGTTGTTATCTTAGATCTGAAATAATGTAAAAAGCACTTTATGTAAACATGCATTCTAGATCAGTTCCTGACTCAATTACAGAAAATAAAGACAGGAATTATCTACAAACACCTTTCTTCCTATGTCTTCTAGGCATACCATATTTACCTGAATATAAGATGACCTTGAACTGCCCCCTCCCCATCTGCCACTAAAATCTAGAACAATTAACATTTAATAATGTGAGGTAAGAATACACAAAATGGTGAGTGAAAGTTTATTTTGAAGTCTGAGATTAACATCTTGGCTTCAATGTTGTCAAAGTCATTTAACTTTTCAAAGCACAATGTTTACTGTATGTATCATAAAATTACAAATTCAGTAATGCTGCACTGTGTTCACAGAGTGCATTTATGGGTTTCTCATGATCTTCAGAATAAACAGTAGTTGGTCCTCTAAACAGCATTAACCAACTGACCTTTGTAATGGAGACATTGTTTTTTGATGTAGGAACTGAATTTTTAATATTCAGATAAGCTTTGTGCTTCAAAGAATTAAAACTAGATAAGTATGCACTCACTAATAATGTAAAACTTCTTATACCTTCCAGCAAGTCCTTTTAATATATGCGTCTTACTACAGACTTTACTTGATTATTTACTATTACTGTTATCAGCTGATATATTATGTAATGATGAATGATATATGTATAGATTATTAATGTGGAGATGGGAGGAAGCACTTACAAGTTGAATCACAGAAAGAAGTAAGCAAAAATTAATGTCAGGATTGCGGGGATTTGAATGAGGTACCCTTTGAATGTGAAGGAAGAGTTGTGAACACATAAAATCTCCTAAGACAGTGTTTATGTTTTATTCTTGATGTGAGCATAAGGAATGGGTGTAATACAATGAAGTTCATAATTTTGTTTTCACATAGTTAAAATCTATAACGAAAAGACTGCTACTCTACTACATTCCCAATTGATAAACAAAGGATAATATTTCAAAGATTGTTAATAATGATGAAAGTACTAAATGTCTTAAGTTACATATTTAACCAATAATACATGCAAATGTAACTGAACTTTGTTTGAACATGGGGAGAACTTATACCAGTGAAAATATAATTTAATGTAAACAAAATGCCTGCCACCTGTCACAGATGTCACTATAGACAAGGAGTTCAAACATGTCAGACTGACTTAGAGTCAAAATCAGGATGAGATTACACTGTAATGGAAGTGCATAATGTGACAGTACTGTAGATATTCCTTCAGACTACATTGGGGTCTGGAGTCATCTGCATGATGTCAAATAGGAAATACCAGTTTATGACAGCTCAGTACTAGAATATACTATCCTACACTCAAGACAATGAGTTTTCACATCATTTTCACTTATCCTTGATTCTCATCTTTACTTTATCATGATGTGATCTTAACAGCATGCCATACACTTCTGATGCTTGAAGGATTGAGACTTATAAGAACAAATTTATTATAATGAAAGCAAGATTTTTGGTCCATTTCATTCTGAAGTTACAAGATCCATATTTTATTTGGCATGTTTTACTTTTCAGTACTATTACACTCACCTTTGTTTTCTTGGTTTAGGCGGTCTACCTACAGACCCTATTGACACCTCTGAACCAGATGACTGACTGCCAAGTGTGTAATGTGTTGACTGCTGCTGCATTCTGTGTGCAGGATGATGAGATGTTGGCAAGGAAGTGGGGTGAGGGGGGAGATTAAAGGGCATTCTTAATGCAGGAGATGAGGATGAAAGGGGCTGCTGGCTCATCACTCGCATGTCACCTGATGATAGAGCACAATACAACATATTGCCTAAGCATCAATGGTGTAAATGAATAGAATTGACCAGTAAGTTTTAGAGAGAATGGGTGAATTCTGGAAAAACCTGCCAAAGTAAAACTTATATATTGTGTAATAGCAACATCAAATAACAATTCCTAGGTGTAAGTTTCAACATAAAAGCATGCTGCAGACAAAATGGTCATTTTTAAAGACATGGAGGGAGGAGATATTGTTTTGTTTGTCCCAGAGAACTGTACCAAAGACATTTATCTGGGAAACTAATATTTTTTTATATCAGTTCTTCTTTCAGAAGTGGGGTTGTCTACAGTCAGGTAAATATGGTATGTAGACAAAGTGACTTATAACAGCTTGTGACCTATATGACTATATCACGAGTGCTGTACTGTGAAATTACTATTTGTACTTCAAAGTGAGAGCTGCAAATTATGCAGAATAGAACAATACAAGTTTAAGAGGTTCTTCTAGATTTAGGTAAATAAAATGTCATAAAGAATTCATTCTGATTTGAACACAAATTTTTTAAATGTAAGAAAAGTTGTCAATCAAGAACTAGATCTGACTATTCACATGAATCCTTCAATCTTAATATAAGTACAATCCTTGTTAGTAATGGAAGGAAGGTAGTTTTGTCCAGATTTCAAATTTCAGAATTAATGCTTGCAATTAGTGCAGTAGAGTGGTGGCATAACACTGAAAAATCTGAATATTTAAGAGAAAAATACTCTTCTGGGATCAACGAATCATTCAGTGGTCACTAAGTACAGATTTACAAAACCATTCTTACATAATTTTATATACGAATGCACCATTCTTCACAGACAATTCCAAACTAAAGAGTGGAATGCAATGTCACTTCAGCATGAATATGACAGGTTAGTAGCAGGAGTCACGGTAACAGAGAAGTAGTAGCAGTAGTACAAGTGGACATAGTGTACATTATTTTAAGAAAAGTTAACTGCTAGATTGTTAGCTCTCTCTTCAGAAATCTTGTGTTAATATACCTGGCATAATGCGTAGCCCAAACATGGGTATGGATGGATACCTCATGCTTGTGACGGTCTTGTCATTTCCACACACCGTGTCATAATGGCTACCATTACTCCTATCCTTGCTTCCGACTGAAGGAGACCGACTGTATGATGGTTTCAGCCCTAGACCATCACGAGAAGGTCTGGGGGGAGGAGGACTTGACGTCACACTGGACATCATCTGGGGAAAATACAACACATGAAATACATATCACATGACCATAAATCCATTCAACAGTCCACTAAAATAACAATTCTTTTGGCATGACAAATATAAAATGAAGTGAATGCCAGAGTCAGAAAGAACTGACTACATCCTAAATAGTGTACTGTATAGTGAAATTAACATGTGACAGTAATATGAGTAGTAAACACTCGTTCAATATTTTAACAATGTCATCATATCTGTAGTTCTATTAAAAAAGGGCAAAGCATGAAATACTAAGCACTATACAATATGTTAATATATCCTGAACTCTTAAAACCTTTCTCTTCACCAAAAAGGCAGATTTTTATGTCGATCACTCAAAGGGAACGGAGGTGCTGAAGGTATTCTTTGATACCAATCATTTCCCATGAGTTCATTCTTGAAAGTGTTTATGTCAACAGGACTATGTACAGAGGCATTCTTTGTCATCTACAAGAAGTTTATCTATTGAAAATGCCTTCATCTTCAAGATTCTGGAAACTGGTTGTTGCACTGTGACAATGTGCCATCTGCTTGGTCTCTTTTGAGACAGAAGTATCTGACCAAGGATGGTACCACAGTGATTCCACAATTTCCAAACTCTCCATATCAAGCCACTGCCTTTTGTCTTCCCTGATGCTCTGGAACAAATGCTCTCATCCTATCAACACTGCTCCTTTCATAATATTTTATTTTTCCTTTTACTGTATGTTTTTTAAGTCAGTAATACAATTCTGAAGAAGGAGGATACCTTTTCAGGACTAACATGTTCATTCCCAAGAACTGGAACCCCTTTTTTAAAAAGATGTAAGTTCCATGTGGGAGAAGGTGTGGAAAGAAACTGTTTCCAGCACCAATAGTTAAGAGCAAAATGAAACTACATCAAAGTCAGCATAGACTGTTTTATATAGACACTATCAGTTCTGACTGCTTAGATTGTTTTACATTAATACTACATCAATACTGAATGTGTATATTACTATACACATTGAATCAATGTTTATCAACTAATACACTCACACTACATCAGCATTGACAGTTTGCACTCACAATATGCAAGTCTTGACTGTGTATATAGTTTGATACACTCCTATTACATAAGAGTGATTATACACCAACTGTCAGTATCTAGTCTGTATATCCATTTACATAATCAGACATGCCATGGAAATAATGTTTAAAGGAACAAAAATATTTATTTTGGAAAAATGATTCATGAAAATAAAAATGTTGTTCAACACCATGAATTTTAGGTAAACTAAATATCTTTTTAATGGTGTATCATACATAAAATGTTTTAGTTTTTATACAAAACTATGAAAAATAACTAGGACAAATCAGATACCTTCCTGAAATGTAAATCACAGAGATAAATGAGGAAGTACAAACACTATCATTTTAGAAGAGCACAAGATCACATCAATGTGTGCACACACACCACAGCATGCATCACATTACAAGGATATTTTCCTTTCAGAAATCTGAAAAGGAGTTAGACACTAAATTGGACTTGAAACATACTCAATGTCTCCCACCTATGCTATGTTAGCAGTATGTTCTTGTGCTTGCCATATCATTCTTTAATACCACTTGCAAAATCTGTAAAAATTCTCTTTTGAATATAATGTTGTCTGTCCCCAACTCTCTGCTAAATCAGAATGATGATTACACTAAAATTTCTAATTATACTATGTTTCTTCTGTGGGAAGTTTTTCATCACATAAAAAGAACAAAATTAAAACGACACAAAAACAATTATCCAATTGGCATATTCTTCTATCATGCATACTATGCATTTTTTGTATAAAATTTGTAGGTAACATATATCCAAAATTTCACATGCTTATGCACAATGATTGACAAGTTTGACACAAGACTCAAACACAGACTTGAACTTGATGTTTCCACATATTAATCACAAGACTGGCCACAAAATTAGGCAGCAGTCACTTCAGTTTTACCTGCATGTTGGACCGGAAGAGCCCTAGATTTGAGATGACTGTGGGGGGAATGTACTGTGAAGGCCCAGGGGTAGAAGGGGTGCCTGTTGACTGCTGACTGTATGGGCCAGGAGTAGGGGCATTCCCATTGGTTCCACCTCCACTGTACATTGGTGTATAGCCACCTCCATTCAGATATACATATGAGTGTGTGGGCATGTTGCACAGGGTCTGTAACAATTAGAGGTGGGGTTAGAATTACAGCTATTAAAAAAAACTTAGTAATTTTCTGGAATAGTATCACATCTGGTGTTGTGTGGTGATAATATTTGGGAACTAAACCTGTGTCACAAGCTATTTTACTAAATGTAGTGGTTTTATAGCTCACTGCATTGAGGAGTGTCGTCACATTATTGTGTCATATAACAAAGTTCCTGCTGTACAAAAAAGCTGTCAAGTTTCCATTCAATATTCTTTTAATTACTGTCAGCAATGCATAATATTTGGACTTACTGTTGCTTCATACCAATGCCAAAATTTTAATTATCTTATTTAATGTTCAATAAATCAAAAAATGTTTGAAATAACACGTAAAAGTAAATGAAATGTTATATTACACAAATTTCATCAACAATGTAGGCAATATGTAGCACATCTGAAAACAGAGTATAGTTCGCGACTGTAATCTTGAGACTTGCTGGGTGAGGAAGTGGGGTGAAGGAGGAAAGATAGTGTCAGCCTTAATTGTTCGGACCTCCTGCATTCCTTGCAAGTCTCAAGATTACAGTCGCGAACAGTATGTCAAAGCCCAAGTCAGTACAAACAAACAACAAATTTAAGTTCAATCAGGCACCACATTTATGGCAAGTCTGAATTTGCTCAAGATTTAAAATTCTGAGATTTACACAAACTGTTGGGCACTGCTTTAAAGATGTTACCTTCCAAAAATGTCTATGGAAAATCACAAATGACTGCAGTAACAACAGGCTTGATTTGTATGAATCCATCTACTGCTTTAGTAAACACCACAGTTACTACATATACAGTACACATATGGAATTTCTCTTAGAGAGGGATATATATATAAGAAATAGCAGTCTGGAAGGCGGACAGACATTATCTGTGAATGGTTAGTGTCTTTACTGTTATGTACACTGAAGAAAAAAACATGATCCATGCCTGAAAACCAATGGTACATATGAAATACTGACACAAGAAAGCAAATCTCTACAAACAGATAATCACCATAACAGAACTCTAACATAGTACACTAAATTTTCCCTTTGACAGACTATCAGCACACACACACACACTGCTAGGGGCAAATGATTCCACACATCTTGAATGTGGTAACTGCTGTATTCACTAGACTGTTATACACGTCAGAACAAGAGATGTAGCTCAACCCTGAGAACCATAACATACTGGACACAAAGCGTTACAATTAAGAACAGGTCACTTCCTTTTAGGATGAACCCCTGCTTTATTTAATCTCATTTTCATGGTGAAGTACATCCAAAACAAAATACCACAAAAAATGTTATCACTTCTACATTTCATGCAGCAGCCATGCTAAAAAGTAAATTCAGGTGCAAAGTTGTCACACATGGCAGTACTAGAAGTATTCTGAAAAAGACTATTTTTAGGATTAATTTCTTTGGTTTCTCCAGCATAAAATTCTGGCAGTTGTTGAGACAACAAACAGGACCACTTAAAATCCAAGTTCTTTTAATAATGCATCAATGCTTCAAAAATCTTCGTAAATGTATCAAGTTTAATTCAATTTAATGAGCCTAAGAATTATTAAACTGTGTCAATCATGTGTCCATGATGAGACTTTCAATAACAAGTGCAGACACCATTTTCACGATGTTATGCTTTACCATTATTCCTGTAACTGTAGTAGACTGGCAGAAGTCTGAGGTTGTTTCATAGTTGAGATGCTTTCAAATTATCTTTGTAGTATGTAACAATCAAAACAGCTGAGAATTCACCTGACTCTGAGTGGGTGTCTGTGGAGGGGTAGGGGCCCTGTATGCTCCCACAGCTGTCCCAGGTTGGCTCGGCTGCATGTAGGGTGGTCCCATACTCAAAGCCATTACAGGCTGGGTGTGGGATGTTGGGGTTGAAGGCGGGTGATAGTAAGGTAGTGCACTTCCTCCAGGCAAGGCTGACGCACTTGATGAACTACTACTCAAGCTGAAAGAGAACATAAGACAACTTGTAACTAAAATCCTTTCACAGCCGTAAATACTGAGAAGTTACTCTCTTCTTTTCACAGTAGTCATTAAAGACAAGTAGAGTATCATTCCTACATGGCCAATTCATTTCAGCAATAAAAATTATTTCACTTAACTGACAAAATTCTTAAGATTTCCTCCCCCTTCCTAGCGTTAAACCTTTCCTGGTTCAAATCTTAGTCCTAAGACCAGCTATCCTGACTGAGGTTTTTCATGGTTTTACTCTGACACTCCAGACAATACTATACCACCTTGAATCAGGACATGACCCTTTCTTCCATATCCTTTTCACTTTATTATTCATTAATCATCCTATAACTCAAAGATATTCAGTCTGAGCTACTAACAGCCTCTTTAAATAAAAATAAATAAATAAATCACTGTAATAAAAATGCTTCAAATTAAATTTATAGATCTTAATGAGGTCTATATTTTATACAATTCATAATTCCTTAGTATGATAACCTATTTTCAATAAAATTCAAGTTTATTTTGAGCCTCATGTAAAGTGAGGGATATATCAGACCAATAAACAACAAAATTAAATTCACTCTTCAGCTTTTAGTGTAGACCCCCAACCCCACAACACCAAACTTAATCAAAATCTGTACTGTATGTTAAGAGATTAACACATGCAGACAGATGAACCTCATCATTATGAGTTCATTTTACAAACCTTTTACACATAACATATAGCCATGTAACTGACATACTGGCCATCAGTCCTATCAAACATCAATTGAGTATAGTTTAAATATGATATAAACAGTTTTCTCCTTTGTATATGAATTAAAGTTATTAAAATCTGAACGAAGATCATACATTTCACACAGAATACAGAAAACAATGTATTTCCTCCATCCTCCGTTAAAAGGGTTAACTAAGGTGAGACAGAGGTCACTTACGAGTTTACATTAATACTGGTGGGGGTGTACAGCATATGTAGAGAAGGTTGAGAGTACAGAGACATGCATTCCCCATTCCCTGTGGCAGCCATCATAGCTGCCCCGTAGCTCACCACAGGATAATTCGGTATGTAGCCTCCTGTGAAAATAGTTACAGCTTCTATATAGGTTCTGCTTCAGAACCAGAATAATGTTATGTCTCATATATACAAAAAGAAAATTCCAGGCTCAGGTAAATGACTAAGCAGATATTTTTCAATAGTAATATTAATTATTGTGATTGATTATGATTACTTAACAACATCCACTTAACAACAGAATACACTTATAAAAGAGATCTAAATTAGTTTACATAAAAATATGAAAAATGTAATAGTTAATGTTTCATAAAAATTATTCTCAAGTTCACTAAATAAGCAGTTAGAGGCTTACAAAAATTAAATGGAAAAGAAGGAGGTAACAGGGTCATCAGCAGATTTTCTGCTTAATTCTTCATCAACAACTCTCAATTCCCTTAGAACCCACAGGGCATTATTCACAGTCACAAAGCTGCAACTGTCAAAAGGGGGGTTGGGGTTGGAAAAGAAAAGATGTGTCATTAATATGGCCAATCTGAAACCACAGCTTCAGACCTTACCAGGTGGAGGGGCACACACACACACAAAAGGAAGAAGATTAATTTGTACTGATGAATGGAACATACATACCACTGGGCCCCATGCTCTGTTGTGACCTGTCCTGATGTGTATGCTGTTGAACAGGGGGAAGCAAACTGGGACCACTGGGATGGCACAGTGGAGTACCACTTGGAACCTGCTGGTAAGGTGGGTATGCTGCCATATATCTTGGAGTCGCTGGATTTGAGCTGTTGGAGGTGGCCTGCTGTGGAGGGGAGGTGCTGAGCATTGAACCAGATACAGGTGGAGGAGGAGGAGCTGCAAGAGCTGGTGGTACGTAATACATTGGTAATGGCTGTTGAGCTGGTTGCTGTGGTGTCTGTTGTTGTGAATGCTGCAATGTTGATTAAATGGCATGTTAGGCATCATGTAAAAAAAAAACTATCCAAGATGAATAAGCAGAAATAAACAGTATACCTTAAATGAGACAAAAATTGCATCAGTTCTCTGAGGATTATAAGAACTAGACGAGCAGGTTTCTCTACACAAAAACAGTGTTTCACAAGGCATTGAACATATGAAATATTTAAATTGTAAAAATTCTGTTCCTCCTAGTTACCTGTACAGGACTAGACTGTTGCTGAGGTTGCCAATATGGAGTTGCAGAAGCTACAGCTGGGGCAGGAGGTTGCGACTGATAATTATGAGGATGGTGGCTGTGGTGCAGTGAAGAGGGGACTGGCATCATGCCCCCTGCTGTTGAGGGCTGTGTCTGCTGCTGACTACTAGAGTTATCATTACCACTGCCACCAACACCACCACCACCACGCTGGTCTGTCACAAGGCCCAGCCCCATGAAGTAACTGCTCAGGTCTGAGATTGCCATACAGGTACCATCCTGTACACAAAACTAAGTCAGATTTGAATGTTTAGCATTCCTACTTCAAATGTGGGAGGCCCTGGGCTTGATTCTTAGTCTGCAAGTGGCTATCCTAACAGTCTTCATAATCTTTTCAATCACTCCATACAAATGCCAAGATACAACCTTAAAGAAGCCACAACCATATATTTCGACATAATTATCAATTGATCATACACAGTCATTCATACATTTGACATCTCTTTTGAAACTGGTAAAAAGGGTGCAAGTCAAATATACAGGTAGCCCTCGATTTACGCCGGGGATGCGTTTCTGGATGAACCGGCGTAAACAGAATTGACATAAATTGAAACTCTTTTATAATGTAAATCAATGGGAAGTCAATGACATGCGTTCCCAGCACCCAAACATTGATGACTAAGGTAAGGGCATGACATGGAAAGCTCTGAAATAACGTAAATAAAATAAAGGAAATTTAAAAAATATATTTTATACACTTACAATCAGCAATTCCTTGGTCCCAGCGATTTACTGCGATTCTTTCACGTGACTGATGTGTACAGTCACCTCTGCTGTTATGCGATAGTCGCATTCATGTAAGATGCCGACCTACAGAAAATTGCGTAGTAAAAATAACCCTGGTACCTCCGCAGAGATTAAATTAGTCCTTTGAAAGTTTAAAGCGCCAGGAATGAAATTTCATAAGAGCAAACTCGCATATGCAAAAGTTTGCATTTCACAAACAGCTTTTATCGATTCATCCATCTCACTGGAGCAAATTCGCGTTAACGAAACATACATAATTGCAGAGATGACTGTATTTATAATTTTTATACAAAAACAGCGATGTAAGAATTACAATTTAGTATAAAAAGCAGTACGAGAAACATAGTAAAACGTTATAAATAATAGTAAAATGTATATTTTTTCACTTTTTGACTTGCTGGTTTCAAAATCGGTGTTATTCTCAATCGGCGCAAATTGAACCGGTGCAAATCGAGGGCTACCTGTAATTTATATCGACTTATGCCCTTTTATCAAGCACTGCAAGCTATGAGCATAAAAATCTCTACAAAGTTGCCAACAACACTTGGTTGGGTGGTGCTGGCTAAAAACACATGTTATGTGATCAGTTCTGCAGTGTTCCAGTTCATGGAATACATGTGAACCAGGAGAGTTGGACAAAAGACTTTTTGTTTTTTGAAGTGTTAGCTGGGCTAAGACAACTAACACAATTAAAAATTAACATGAATGCTCTGCTCCTACACTCTTTAATTGCTAATGTAATACTATGTTCTTTAAATGACTTGTCAACTTGATAATACTCTTGGAAAACTAACATCTTTTAATGTCTTGATTGTAGTTTCCTCTGCAATGAAAACTTAAAATTCTTTACATTTTCAGTATTACACTGGCATTACCATAATGTAATTTGTAGACAACAAAATATTTTTAAGTATGTAAATTATGTGATTTTTGTGATTTACAATATTATTCATTCTGTAATAATATCAGAATTTTCATCAGCTTTTAAATGCTGAAATGCATTTCAATGTATAAATAACCCATCTCTGTTGAACAATTCATTGTGTAAACCTAAAATATTGTCAAACAATTCATTTTGCACAAAGTTGCATTTGTTATTGCAGTATACAGTTGTAAGGAGAAAACAGTTACAAATACTAATCTGTTATACAATGACTGGTAAGTCAACAGCAGTAAGGAAGGCTTATCACATATATGTATGATATTTTGCACAATGAACTAGCTGAAACCAACATACAATGCATCCCAAATTTAGAATGAAATATAAGTATGACATATACACACAAAATATAACTGTTACTTCAGAGATTTAAGGTTCCCATGGAAAAGACGTCAGTGCTGGACTTCTGAGTTGTGATGCTATGTGGACTTATGCATCATAATCCAGAACACAACATCAACAACTATTATTTTCTTTTCTCCCAATTCTTGTTCGTGGTTTTGGAAAATTACAAAAATATACAAATAGTATGGCCGTATCCATAACTTACTGAATGCCTCTGTTCATATCCTGTTGTGCCAGCTGCCATCGCAGTAGTACCATTGGCAGCTGATGGCACTGGTACCATGTTATAGCTAGCAAACACCATCTGAGGTGGTGTTGGTTGTTGACTTTGTGCTTGAGCTGGCACCTGGTTACCAAACATCATTTCTGGCTGCTGATGTTGCAAAGCTGGTACAAATTGCTGCTGAGGATATGAGTGTGTCTGAGTGTTCACCAGACTACTATTAGTATTAGCTAGCTGTGGGCACATCGGTATGGATGCAACAGGCAAGGTTCCGAGGTGTTGCTGTAGTTGTACTGGTTCTGTTGGAGGGACAGCAGGGTTTGGTACATACGAGCATTGACTGGAGTGGCAGATTGTGAGAACAGGCTGTTGTGGTGGGGCATGGATCTGTGAGGTAGCTGATGTATTAACTAATGTGGAGTTGGAGTGAGGTTGTAAGTTAGGCAGTAGGGCAGGAGGAGGTGACATAGGTAAGGAAGGGGAGGTAGCAGTTGTTGTTACATGAGTTGAACAGACAGTTTTTGATGGCAAAGTTGCTGAAGATGAAGTGGAGGAAGGATGAGCTGCAACAAAGAATCATTCACAATTAATATAACTGAAACTTTACGTGTACTGCAAGATGTTAATACTGTACATTAACACTGAGAAATGTTTCCAAGTTTCATATCCTACCCATTGCTGTCATACTGAAATTATACATCATACTGTAAGTCAGGTTTGCATAATTTTTCAATTATTGACAATAAGTAAACTTTTAACTTCGTCTAGATTCTAACAGTTCTAATATTTCCCATTTAGAACACATAACAGCAGAAATACAAATATTACAAGCTCAGCTGTGATTCTCAAAGATGATGGCAGTAACAAGTGCCAACTCTGTAACAATCCTATTAAAGAATTAGTTGGCGGCAATGGTTCTCAACAAGATACAAATGATACTAATGAATGAATCTGTAGTTTATGTCACATTTAGTAATAGTGTTTCATTTAACAGCATAAGACCATCTGTTTTGACACATATTTGTTAGGCCTTGTGCTAAGACACAGCAGGTTATTTCTTAATAATAATGCACATATACTGTGACTGCATAAACAGTTACCTGCATGTTTTGCTTAAAAAGTGTCTCAAAGCAACAGATGGATGGACAACCAGGTAGTGGATGTGTAGTGTTATAGGGAAACAACACAAAATGCTCTATCACAAAGCACATATGAAAATCCAGAACACAAAGAAATGGAAGACAAGGACTGATGCCATATAGAGATGGCTGTTTTCTGGGTTATAGCACCATGTAGTCTGGTAGAAGTCTACCAATGTTTCAGAGGTCCTTGCTGCCTCCATCATCAGGGTCTTTTTAATGAATAACCTGCCCACAGAGGTTTACCAAGTAAGATTTGAGGTTCCCATGGCAGTGAGTATGAAGATGGCTGTCTTCTGGGTTGCAATGCCATGTAGTCTGGTAGAAGTTTACCATTGTTTCAGAGGTCCATGCTACCTCCTTAAGACAGTCATCTTCATACTCACTGCCATGAGAATCTCAAATCCTACTGACATCATACAGTCAGATCTTGCTAATACAGGATCAATACTAATTACGCACACTTCTGGCTTTGGCAAGTTTGTTGCTGTGCTGGTGGATGCATCTGCTCGGAGCTGCCTGTGCTCTTCTGGCGATTGCTAGTACCATCACTGCCACTGACACTGACACTGACACTCTCTCTACCATCATCTGTTACAACCTTGGGAGGATTGGCCGGGTCATAACGGTACACTGAGCCGTCAGAATTAACATATGGCTGCCCGGTCTGTCAACATAAACACTGACGTCAGCCCCAGAGCAAATTGTCTACTTCTCTCTTATTCTATAATGTTTCAAAAAGTATTATTAGATGGAGTCAAAAGGCAGTATTATAAAGTACCATCATATCAGATATAGTAGCTGTGAATATGAAAACACTTATTCAATAATTTATTTTATTAGCAGATATAAGACAATAAACTTAAAATCAAATTTGGCACAAACACAGTGTCTGCAATAATCTTCAAAAGAAATGTGTTATGAAAACATGGCTATCTGATGAGTGAACAGAAACATACAAGCTTTCTCTCCTTCTCCACACTCCCTCACCTGAGGGTTTATGAGTACACTGCCAGGAGGAACGGAAGCCATGCTGGTCACAGCCCACATCACAGTCTGGTTCTGTTCATGACTACTTGACTCGGGTGTGTGTTGTGGGGACAGTGCCCCATGACTAGACATCTGCAAGATAATGAGAGTTCACAATATACAGAAAAAAACTGTTTTAACAAATACTTGTCATGGGCAATTAACCATCTGGGATGGTAAAAATTGACCCCAAAATCAAACAGCAAATAATTCACAACTTGCCTTACAAATTTCCTTTGAAATTCAGGACAAAATAATTAGTTTACTTTTATGATATCTCTTAATACAAGTAAAGCAATGTAGGGGAGTCATGACACGACACAGCAAAAGAAATACTACTGATATTCTGTCTGGTAGTGATAGGAATGGTTGTCAAATGTTCATGTTTCCCGCAAATTTAAGGGTACTTAAAAGCAATCCTGATGTTACTATAGATCCAAATGATACTGAAAGTGTATACATTATTAAATTATAAGTACGATCCCTAGTAATGAACACTTTGAAACATTGTGTGAAGAAACAAACCAGTGTTATCAACAGACATCAGTTTCTCTAATTTTCTCACAAATCATGAAATGAACTGATCACTCCAAACAAAAATGAAAATATTACTGGTCCACAAGAAAAACTAAAGGTTCACAGTGTTTGTTCTCAGATACATTAGCTACTGTTTTCAAAGGTACCATACTCTCCAAATAAGGTGGATGGCTTCATGAATATTCTTATCAAATTTTATGTTAATCTGCCAAAAGTAAGTGAAGATATATATATTTTATTTTTGTAGATGTATGCATAACAGGTCAGAAGTCTAAATTCTCAGGAACTAATAACAGCATGAGTTATTTAAATCAGATATGTAATGCACTAATAATAATTGTCCCTAAAACATATACACATTAAAGTATCCATTGTTGTTCCTACAATTCATCGGTTGTATAGTGACAAGGATATGTAGTATCAACAAGACAGGGTACCCCAACATTACCAACATGATATCACAGCCTATCTTGACAACACATTTCCTGACTGATGGATAGGATGTAGAGGATCTGTTGAGTACCTCCCACAATCACCAAATGTAACCCCATCCGATTTATTTCTTGTGGAGTTACTTGAATGATGCAGTGTACAGCACAAAGCCAGCAACACATCAACAGCTCCAGGAAGAAATTAAATGGTCTTACACAGCCTTCCCGGTAGTAACTTTGGTGGCTGCTTGTCAGTCGGTTGCTCACCACTGTCAACTGCACCATGAACTTAACAGTGGTCATTACGAACACCAAAGCTATATTCGCTAATTCACTAAGTGCCAATGCTGATGTATGTAATGGTTTAGTTTATTAAAATGTCTTTATTTCATTCCCTGAATGTGTGTATATATCTTTTTTGGGACACCCCAGAGGTGATTACATAAAAGGAAAAGGAAAAGTACATACATACTACATAAGCAGTCAAAGTACCAAATAATTACAAAAAAATCCTTTATTTCTGTAGGTGGGAAAAGTTTAAAGTAAAGAAATGACAAAGAATAATTTTACAGCAAGCAAAGGAGTACACCTAGATAATATTAAAAAATCAAACAAACTGAAAATAGCTCACCTGAGGTTGGGTGGAGCTAGAGATGCTCAACTGAGATACAGGAGTAGCAGTTGGGGAAGGCGTGGCTGATGTGGTTGTGTCCGAACGTTGGGACTGTGACTTGTAGCCAGAACTGGAAGGACTGAGGCGGGAAGACATGCTGCTACCAGAATCTACAAAACAATAAGATTATCATGAATTCTCTGTATTTTAATGTCATGAACAAAGTAATCTGTGCTGAGGGATTAAGACAGTAACATTTTATACACACAATGAAAAAGTAGTGTAAAACAAACACAAGTACCTTGCTTGGTGAGCAGTCGAGCACCAGCACTGTGTGTACTTGTGCAGCTGTCGCCCCGAGAAAGCACAGCCACTGGGTAACCCCCAAAACTGTATGACTTAGACACTGAGAGACGGAGTGAGTTGGCTTTTAAAGTGTCACGACACTCAAATGATTCACCCTTTGGGAGACGCACAGGCCTGGAGAAGACACAAAGCAATTATTTCAGCCTAATCTAAATACAGCTCATAAAATATCAAGGCTTAAGAACCCTTGTACTATACAGGCTTACTAAATCCCAACCAAACTTGATAAAAGCTTTCAGCCCTGATTTTAGAAAGGAGAATAATCTTACAGTACTCCTCATTTGTCAGCATATTTCTGTTTGTTAATCCCTAATGACAATAGATCAGTAAAGCAAACAGTGAAATTCAATATGAATAACACGTCACTAAAGATCACTTTGATATAATACTTATTGAAAATCTCAGAATTATTGGCAGAAAATATCAATCATCACAACCAAAGAATGCATAAAGAAAAGTGTTGCTGTTCATTTTTCTTGATAAGGAAGTAGTACACATCACCCAGACAACCAATCAACCTACTACCTAGAAGTTCCAGAATGCCTACTTACATCAATGTATAATGTTAAAGTAACATGTCAATTTTAAAAGGTACTGACAATGGTGTGTTACAATCAGGTTCACTAAAGCCTTGGACTACGTACCTTAAACCATCTATGTTTTTAAAAAGAACACTATGTTTTGGAAGCTGGATCTGCTTCCGTCCTCAGGTTAAAAAATGGGGAGGAGCACCTACTCAATCAGATCCAATGGAAAGAGCTAATCTCAATCACTGGACCTGCCCACTCTACAGTCAGTCAACAACAGAACTCCACCAAACTTACCCACATCTGACAGTGATCACTTTCAAGAACTTTCAAAAATGACACAAGGAACTTCAGTGTTAATTATTCAGTTACTGTTTTATACTTTGTTCATACCCTGTGAATGTGAAGTAGCCTTTCTAAATGTGTGATGTGATATTAGTTAACCAATCACACCAGCACTGAACATAAATAGAGGAAGGAAACTCAAACCTTTCATTCATATGTTACATACATCACTTAGGTTATAGAGCAAAAATTAAGAAGCATTATATTAGCAGTGACTTGCAATCAACTTATACTTTAAGAAATTTCCTTTGGGCCTTCTATATATCATCCTTATTTGGGCATTCACATTTATTTCTTTTCCAAGAAAGTTCCTTCGGACCTACTGTATATCAAAACATTTCTTCCATCAATTCATTTTTAGAGACAGCCTGTAAATGTGTATACTTTTATTATAATCAATTTCAGGCTCAAGAAGTTCATAAACCATTGACAGTGAATGTCTTCATTGTAACAATGTTCTTAATCAATACTCATAACCCATCAGTGGGTTACTCCTTCTAGTTGTGAAATACTTGGCTCAAATGAAAGTTACCTAAGCTGGTTGTTATCAGAGGCATGCAGAAGCATATTTGAGCGTAGTCGTGATGACATATCACTGTCAGAACTACTCCATGGTTGCACTTCTCCTGGCCACCTCAGTTCCTCTTGGCTGCTGCGTCGAGAAGAGTCATGCAGGGGGTCACTGCCTCCATCCTGTTATCAAACACATCAAAAATATATCTAAGTTACTGGAATAACTAGCTTTTTGTCAAGAAACATTCTTCTCTAAGGTTATGGAAAAGAAACCTAAGCAACCATTAGTAGCAGAACATGACATGTGACCATAAATCCTCCACATCAGTAGGTACATACATACACATACACACACACACACACACACACACACAGTAACCTGTGGTACAAGCAAAAAAATTTCATTTATTTTCAGTCCGTGGTGCAACAACAAAAGGACAACATAAAATAAACAGAATAAGAAAGGAGGGAAAAAATAATGCCCTGACTATGGAGTACTCATTGAGTCTGCATTATATAGCACATGTAGATGTCACAAGAAGGTTACAGATTTGTAGTTTTTGTGACAACTGCTATTAAAAACATAACTGTTACCAGACTATCTTTGTATTTAGCATGCTGCTGACCATACTTCATTTTGCACGGTAAAGCTAAAAATGAACAAGAAAAAGAAATCAATGTTATTTTAAGAATGAATAATAAAATAAATTAATCATCAATCATCACCTATGTAGGAAATCTATAACTGCTAATATCAAAGAATTGAAAATGTGACTTAGGAGTGGAATATGTTTAATTTAGATGGAATACACTGCACTACACTTCAGTAGAACAGTAATACTCAACACAGTAACTTGAATTTGTCTACTAAACTTATGTCCACTGACTGAAATGACACAGAGACAGGTGTATGAATATGCTCAGTTGATATGTTCAATCAAATATATTTAACGGCCAAATTATTAAAGATGGAGAAAAGTACAAAAAAGTTAAAGCTATTAGTTTAACTTTTTATTAAACTATATTTACTTCACTTTACAAAAGTTCAGATAACATTATTCTTTTTATATATGAGAACCATTTCTGTCACAAAATGCTACAGTCTCTAGAATACTGAGTAAGATATATATTATCCATTTAGAGATGCTGTTTCAATTATAGTTGTACTTGTTTGTATATCTACAACTTAAAAAAATGCACACAGGTAGCAAGGACTCTACAGGGTAAGGGACCAATTGAACTAAAATTTATTGTGGATAACATATTTCTTATATTAAACTTTATTGATATCAATTTAGCCACACAGTGGCACTGTTTCATGCAGACATGCAGATATACAGACTGACAGACATTAAAGACAATGAGTGTTCTGCACTAGGAAACTATTCAGTAAGAGAGGAAAAGGCATCGTCCACAATAATACACACATACTATGCACAGGCAATGTTAATGAACAACCCAAAGTTTTAGTTTCGTTTGTTCTTTTGTGACTACGAATAAGTACAGGAGGCCACTGGCTGTTTCAACCCTTCTCAGACATTATTCTTATCTACCTATAATCCACAAAACCTCTTTCTCATTTTGTGTCAAGGGGTACTTGTCTACACAAGCTCTTTTTACACACCTATTATGTTTCTGACAATCGAAGACACAGTAAAAGTTCATAAACTGGAGAACACATTACTTTAAAAAATATAACTATATGAACTTCATGGCACAGGGAACTACTATGTATTTTATAGTCAAGATACATATATCATCCTGATTTTATAGACTCCAAAGTTTCATCAATATGTTCACAAAGCACACAACTGAATCATATCCTTAGTCAGCTGAATTCAATCCACACTTCCGCATTCTATTTCTCTCAAGATCGACCATCCAAGTACCTACACATGTCACAATTTTAGTATTACTACAAAACAAAAGAAGAAATGTACATTACTACAACCAATTTATAGCACCTTAAGACATAAAATCCAAACTGGAGACATACATGGTACTACAGTACTAAACATATCAAAAACTCTCAACAATTCAGAATACCACTAACTATACACAAATGTTGATGATGGCAAAATGCATGACATAAAGTTGCACAAACACAGTATCAGTGACAACCATATACAGCAGTTGCAACAGGAATGACAACTAAACAACACGATACACAAGAAGCAAAAAAATTATAAAACGAAGGTGACATTGCAAAGCGTGGCTTTAATGGTAATTTGTGGGGAATTGCAGGGAGGCCAGATTTTCTGTACTCACTTCGCGATTAAAAATCCTTTTCCTTGCTTTTTCATATTCCTCCTCACGCTCCTCGAAACTTTTGCTCCGTCGCGACTCGGAGCTAAACTGCCTCTCAGGAGACTGCAACATGGATTCATAATCGAGACGGGGTTGCCAGTCTGTTATTACTAGAACTCGGATGTTCTGTTCCTCAAGATAAATCAGTGAAGTAATCCCAAAACAAAATAAAACCATCATAAGATAGGATGACAGAGCAGTTATAAGAGTAAAGTTTTCCTATAATTCTTATTTAAAAGCGAAGAAATGAAATACGATGGTTCTATAAGAAAAACCAAGTAATATTTGCAGGTCCTAGACTGAGCTGGCTTCTGGTATTAAAGCAGTATGTGTGTACATATGTATGTGTTTTATTGCTGATGCGCACTTCTAGACCCCAAGTTAAAGATTATTTAATTGGTCCATCGTTCCCATTAAAGATGTAAGAAAGATTCAGATGCAATTCCACATAATTAATTTGGATAAGTTAATTATTACATTACATGCTGACTTTAATGTAATTATAAATCGTCTGCTTTGTTCTTTCAGCAATTGTTTTACAAAGTTCATAGAATGAATGCATCCATTCACAAGTTTCATCACAGAAACCATCAAATCAATTTAAATTAAATTCTGCATGAAACTCTACACCAAAAGTTGTCAGGCAAGTTAAATTTAGGTTCAACGTCACTCAGTATAAAACCAAGGTAAAATCAAACTTCATCAACATTCTCTAAACTGACTCGTACAGAACACTGGTGCAGACCACATTAGATCTGACTATAAGGCCAAAGCAATATATATACAGAGTAATACAAAAATATTAAACACATTCAAAACTGTGTAACATGTTCATTTTACACTTCAACTCAATGAAGTGCTCTGCACCTGAATATATTCTAAGTTCTTTCAATAAAATTACTGCATCTCTACATGATGGGTATACAACCCACCTGTAATTTATCTGTACCCACATTCAGTCCACTACGTCAGGTGTTACACCACAAACAGCCTCTTTCAACTAGATTTTAAAGCTGGAAAATATGTTGCACATGGAAAATAAATCCTAGGTGTGAGGTCCAGAGAATAAGGTGGACAACCAACCAGTCCAATCAGTAGTGGTTGTGTTGCCAGTTTTCTTCATATAGCTAAAAGAACAGTTGTTCGCAATAAAAGGTTACGTGCTACTCAAGCACACAGCATCTGGAGGAAAATATTCTTACTTGTTACATGCCCAGACACGCAACAAAGTCATCTTAGGCAATTAGCCATAAAGCCTAAGTATGGTGTTTCAATCAAATCTCTCCAACTCATCCTGATGATACAGGCATAGAAAGTCTCTCAAATGTTCAATGGGAATGTCATACTTTCATGGCTTATCATGCAAGAAAGTTTCAAATCTTGTATCCATACACATTCTTTTATGTTGTATAATCTAAATTTCACCTGTCTCCTCTGTCAGTTTTCTTCATATGATTAAACCAACAATTGGTTGCAACAAAGATTTCATACCACTCAAGTACACAGTATTTGATGGGAGGATTCTTACTGTAACATGTTCATGCATGTTCTTCTACAATGCTAAATCTACACTTCACCTATCTTCTCTTAAGCAGGAAACAAGGGTTGTCCTATGTTGCCATTCATGATTCTCTGAGCTAAAATGATTTTCCATCACTAACTACAATGCTACAGCATGAAATGTCACAAGAATATGTACTTAAATTTTTAACCTTTATCAGCTGAGCGTCATTTCTTATGTTCAGTACAGCTGGCCTTGTCACAAAACCACTAAACCATTACACCCCAAAGTTAAAGTCCAGCCAGCAGCTCTGTAGTATAGGGGTTTAACCAACTGAAGCTGAAGCTCATCTAAATAATATATGTCAATTAAATTCTTACCTTAAAGAAAACATATCATGTTTAAATTACAAAGATCATCTGGTCAATTCTATAGTTACTGAATGTTCAAGCAGGTATTAAATATAGTTACCGCTAGATTTTAAAGAGTGATGAAGATGATGAAGATTAACTAACACATAACAAGGACAGAGATTCACATACCCTATACCTTTTGGTCCTATCTGCAACTACAAAAGTAAATTATGTAATGTCCTCCAAAACCTGACTCCTAGAATAAACCTGACTTCAAATGTGTTGAGTAATACAAAATTATTCTATATTTTACTTTTTCATTTTTAAGCTTCTGAATTTAGTTTATTGTCCAACATTCACATAATTCCCATTATAAAGAGAGCTTCTGCTGAATATTACTCAAGTTTAGCAACCAAACAGCATTAACACATCAGATGTAAGTGAAATTTATTAAATTTATGTTTTTATTACAGCAGACCTGTGTACCCCAAAATGTAATCAGTATTTAAGAATGATACTTACGTGGTCAAAAGTTTTAAATTATTTTTATATAATTTTTTTTGTGAGGAACTTTGCAACATCAAGCTCATCAGCATATGAAATTCACACGATATCTAAATGATTGCTTTTATGTAGGGCCTATGAAGCTACAGCATACTTCTGGTAAATGTCAGTACCCTCAAAATACATACACATGCAAATAAGTTAAAAAAAATACATCACAATACACCAATACTGGGAAAGTAAAAACAGTAAACACCGATATTTACACAGTGAGATTGGCCATTATTGTCCTTGGCTCCAACTATCAATTCAGTATGCATTACCTTGAAGTTACAACTGTCTTCAAATGAGGAAGAATCCCGCTTTAGGATGGATCTCCGAGGCTCTTCAGGGAATAGTAGCTCTTCTCGAATGTGGTCACGGAACTTGGTGTCAGGAAGCCTTGTGTTCTTGGTACGGTTAACAATGACAGCATTTCCTGTCTGGTCAACATTGTGATCCATGCCAAAATATGCAGCTACACGATGAACCAACATGCGTTGGTATGAGGACATCTGTGGGAACTTATAATGGTTGCGCCTGTGAGAGAGGAAAAGATGAATTACATTCCTTAGACTCACACAACAACTTCCCTCCACTCACTAAGGGTAGTTTCTTTCAACCTTGCTCTTTCTGTTTCCCTTCCATTCCAAAACGTCTTACATATGTCAAACAAGTTTTTCTCCTCCTTTTCTACAGGCACTCCAGTTGTAATGAGCAATTATAGTTTCTGTGCTAACTATGGCTTTACAACTGGTCACAAAGAATTAAGAGTTATTTATGATTATAAAAAATTAGTAACTAATTACTTAGGGCAATATACTTTATGTATTCATGTATTCTGTTTCTCTAGTTCTGAGAAGGAAAACAATTTCAATTTCTCCATGCAAGATGTATCCCAGTATTTGCATGAACAGGCTGAGGAAAATCATAAATAATCTCGGCCTGAATGACCAGTCAATTGGTAATTATTAGCTTCTTACGGACTTTACCCTATCGAGTTATTTATAACCTACCTGATTATGCTAGGATAGTATAAATTTTACTTCATGAAACAGAAATAAATCCTAAAAATGTGGAATATTTAGTTTCAAGAAGGCTGGACACAACATTCTCTCATTTACACACAAAAGTTGTTGTCTTACGGGTGCCTGTACATGAAGAACTCCGTGCCAGATACTGTTCATTAGGAGCCGAAATTCATGTGACACTGAGGTTCTCACAGTAGTCTGGTAGAAGTTTAAAATGTTTCATGCCCTGATGATGAAGGCAATAAGCACCTCTAAAATGTTGAAAAACTTCTACCAGGCTACATGGTTCAACAACCCAGAAGACAGTCATCTTCAGCCTAAATTCAAGTTGCAATAATGGCTACATGTGTGACTTACTCAGGGCCATACTTAGGCACAGGTGCATGAGGCGCCAGCCTGGGGCCCCCAATAAAGTTAATTTTGACAAACAAACAAACAAAAAACATGAATTTTACTACGTAAAAATTACAATGATAAATATCAGGGTCATGCAAAGGTACCTGAGGCCCGGGTGCAAGAAGAAATCAGGGTCCCCTTACTTATTCAAGATGATAAAATATTAAACCGTGCCACAATGAGTAAACCAAGTCAGGAGACTGGGCCACGCCAAATATTTCTTTTCCTCTTATTGTGTGCAGGTTTCTATATTTCTGTGGCAACCAATGATAATATTATATTATTATTCCTAATTAAAAATATTAAACGTTTTGTGCTTTATCGATCAGGCCCCCTAGATTTGGGGCCCTGGTGCGCCGCACTCAGTGCACCCCCATTTGCACAGCCCTGATAAAGATGGTAATTTTTTTTTACAAAATGAGGATGTGAAATGAGGAGTTACTTGTATAAGGGTAGTGGACGCTGGTCACGAAAGCCAGAAACACGGCGATGAAAGTTGATGCGCTAACTACGTGATGACAAGCTAAAGCCGTATGGCTGGTCATCATACCCTCATGAGCTGTTGTGACACAGAGTTTAGTTCAGTACTGTTCTTTATGTTTCACAGTATTACAATGTTTGTGTATAAACAGATCGGTATATATATATATACATACAGGTAAACCTCGATTTGTGCCACTTCAGAATAACGCCGCTTTTGAAACCAGCAAGTCAAAAAGTAAAAAAATATATTTTACTATTATTTATAACGTTTTACAATGTTTCTTGTACTGATTCTTATACTAAATCATAATTCTTACATCGCTGATTTTGAATAAAGATTATAAATAGTCACCTCTGCACTCATTGCTAAGTAGTTGCGAGATAATCTCCTAAAATCCGCCAACATTGCACAACAGTCACGCGAGCATTGGTCACTCTTCACGGTGAGTTATTTGCGTTCAGTCTGATAAGGGAGTAGGAAAAATGCACTCAGTTCGCTTCTTGTTGACACATTGAATGTGCTGAAACTGTGTGCTAAATGTGTTTGTGTTGTTGTTCGACCACTATTCTGCAGTAGCAACTGTTTTATATTTTTAAATTGTAGAAGAGCCACCATGTCTGGTAAGAGAAGTGAATGTGTTGCTAAAAAGTTGTGTAGGTCTATTGCGTTAGAAGATAAGATGGACGTAATTCATAGAATAGAAGGTGATACCCGTCATAATGTGTGCAGAAGTATGAAATTGCCTCTTTCCACTGTGACTACCATAATGAAAAATTCATATAAAATAAAACAGTCAGTGCAACAGGCTACGAGAGTTAAGTGCAACGCAAGTGAGTTATAGCAGAAGTAAACTTTTAGAAAGAATGGAGAAATTAGTGTTGCTATGGGTGGATGACATGAATCGAAAAAACATTCCCTTGACAGAAATTGCTATTACGTATAAAGCGAAGTCAATTTTTGAGGAACTTAAGTCGTCAATATTTGGGTGCCGGGAACGCATGTCATTGACTTCCAATTGATTTACATTATAAAAAGAGTTTCAATTTACGCCGATTCCATTTATACCGGTTCGTCCAGGAACACATCCCCGGTGTAAATCGAGGTTTATCTGTATTTATATTTTTTTTTTTTAAACTCTGGTATCTTCAAAGGGGGCCCCGCAAGAGATTAGCGCCTCAGGCCCCGAGAAGTGTAAGTATGGTCCTGGACTTACTTGCTGTCTTTGGCCAGATTGACTAGTTCCTGCTCAATCTTCAGCAACAGTATCCTGTCCTTCTGGTTGCGG